ATTATTTATCTCATGGATGGTGGTGTTGTAGCTTTAAAAGTCATCACCCGACTCAAAGTGATCTAGATTTTCTTTTACATTATCTTCTGAGTTTTATAGTTTTACACATACATATATATCTGTGATACATATCTAGTTAACTTTCCTGAATTGTATCAGGTCTGTTTCTACATTTATTATATTTGTTTTTGATTGTGTAGTTGTGTGGTACCATTTGTTCAATAGGCTATCTTTTCTTCATTGTATGGCTGTTACTCCTTTGTCAAACATCAGCTGACTTTAATTATGTGGGTCTCTTTCTAGGCTTTCCATCCTGTTCCACTGATCTATTTGTCTATCCTTTTGCTTTAAGTATAAAGGCTTTATCATGCACATTCACTGTACAGCTTGAGGTCAAGTGGCACCAGTCCTCCAGCTGTTCTCTTCTTTCAGTATTGAGCTGGCTATTTTCACTCTTTTGAATCTCTGTATAAACTTTAGAATCAGTTTTTCAACATCCACAAGAGAACCTGCTGGGATTTATATTTGTTTTTTACTTCTTTTGATATTGTGTGAGCATTTTCTATATAATGTACATTATCTAAAGATATCTAAGAGCTCACTGTTCTTGAGTGATTTAGCTTCCAGCACTCACTCCTTAAGATCAATTTGTTCCCCTGAATCTGCAGGGGGGCACCTCTCTAAAGATAAGCACCAGTGTCCTTTGTAGCCTTCAACAGCTCTCTATGATTATATACTTCTAGAGAGGTAGAGCACTGTGAAGCTTTTGGGTGCAGCTGCAGTGAGGACTGCCATGGCAAGATCTCCTTTGATGAAGACCAATAGCAACCCACTTTACTCCCAGTGAGCAACAAAGTGTTTTGTACTGGTGTGACATCACTTTCACACGGCTCACATCACAAAACACACGTACACACTTTAAGCTTCCCACAGAGTCATATGTTTGCTTCTCAATGCTTGATTTAGACATAATTGATAACCATAATTATGATGATAATGATGAGGAATATGGAAACAAAGACAGTGACGATGAGGCAGAACCCACTCCCAATAAAGAAGATGGGACTATTGCCAACAGCTTTCCATCTTTTTGCCTGTACTTACCTCCTTTATCAAAGATTCAATAATATTTTATGTACTTTTGACATTTTCTCTAGTCAATAATATATGTGGTTTCCCAAGTTCCTAAGGACAAATTGTATTTTTCTTTTGGTAGATCCTTCACTTTCATTTGTCCTTATACTCAGGAAGTACTTGGTGAATGTCTACAATGTCCACATGTTGTTGTGCTAAGCTCTGGAACTGAATTGGGTATGCACTAAGTATCAGCAAAATTTTTTAATAAGTGAGAGAACTCAAACTATAGATATAGAACATTATAAATAATTTCATAGGCAGAAATATATTTATTCTACTGTAAGTAGCAGAGGGCATATAATAGATGCTGAAAATACATATTGAGTATTTGAGAAAAAAATAAAAACTGTTCAAAGAGTGGAGGGATTATATGAAAATTCTGTATTCTGGTCTTAGTTTTTCTGTAGGGCTAAACAATCATAATGCATTCAAATGTATGCAAATACTATTTATAGAAATGCGAAATATTTAGAGAGGCTATCAGTTTAGGCATAATGCGGTTTGTGTTTCAGTGACCATCCCTGGACAGGTATCTAGACATCATAGCACTTTTGTAAAACTGTGGTGTTAAAAAGTGTTACTCGGTATCATACTAGTAGGTTATAAGTAAATACTTTTTGAATAAAACTAAATTAAATAGAATTGAATTGAATTGCCCAAAACAGCACACGTGAAGATTTATCAGCAGAGATACTTACCCTGGCTAGCATTAGAATATTAGAATACCCGGGGAACACTTTGAAGTGCCATCTACCATTCCCCAGCTTCAGATATTTAAATTTAATTAGTCTGGAAATCATTCAGGTTCTGAATTTACTGGTGAGCAGTCCTTAATTATGAACAGTTACGGCATTCACAGAGGCTCTGAGATGCCTAGGGTTATGGGGCACATTTTTGGACTGAGGAGTCATTATTGGGAAAGGGTTGATTGATTCATATGTTGCACGGTTTCAAACAGGGCAAGAAGCATAAGGAATTCAGTGTGTCTGCATTGCAGACAGATCACTGCTTATGTGAGCTGGCATAAGACATTAGCATGTCAGTGGAGCTCCATTTTTAGGTGGTGTTTGATTTCTAAATGCCTTGTGTTTAGGTGGTATATGTGGAGTGCGTGTAATATAAAGGGCCTGAAACTGCATCTTGTAAAGGAACTTGGGAAAGATGTCTGAGAGTTCATGTTAATTTAAAGTGGTGTCACATTAATAGATGGGGTGGCCATCTACTGCAAACGCAATCACATGGAAAATTTTGAACTGAATTTCTTACATGAGATAGAGAATTCATGGAAGTTTGGGTCTGTGAAGTGACTATGTAAGGATAGAAAATTGAGTTCATGGAGAATCAAGGGGGGATAAATAATGAAGGGACACCTTTCAATGAAGTTTCCACTCTGAACTGGGGCAGGGAGACTCTTAAAGATTCTAAGAAAAAGATTCTGGAAGCACCTTCTCCACTTCCCAACTCTGAGGTTTGTAAAGCAAACAGATCGTAACCAGAAACAGAGGTGGGGCTCCTGCTGCTTGCTGGTCCTCCAGCCGCATGCTGGTCCTCCAGCTCACCCCCAGAAGCAGCTGTAATGCTTTCGACTACAGGCACAGAACAAGAAATGTGAGTCAAAGAATGAAGGGAAACATATTTGCCAGCAACAAGAAGGTCCCAGGTCAAGGATCTGTCCTCACCTAAATAAGAAAGAAGCTCCTTGAATGTCAATCTCCTGTGAGGAGAAAGTTGGAAACAGGTCCTGACTAAAGCTTTCTTGTTCAGAGATGGTGCAGATTCAGGGATGCTTAAAGAAGCCCAGGGTCCATCTTCCATTACTTCGGGTGAGGAATTAGATATAAAACAGGCTACCAGAGAAAAGTTTCAGATCAAACAATACTTCCTGTGAGAAGGGGTTGCTTCCATGGAAAGGAAATGGGCACTGAGGTGAGGCTACCCACCTCAGGGTTTCACGAACAGCCAGATGCAGCTGCCCTCCCCACAGCATTGTTAGCACCAACTGCAGGCTCAGAATGGCAGAGCTTGATGCAATGTGCTCAGGTGCTTGGTCTTCATAACCCTAAAAGCTGATTTTTATATCCTTTATAAAGCTTTCATGACTGATGTCTCTTACAATGATAACACTACAGAGTATTATTTGTTTCCATGAGAAAAACAAAGAAATAAATACAGCAAGGTAATGCAACTTCACTAAGTAGTGAAAGGTAAAGCCAGAACTTAACATGGGTTTTCTGACTCTAAATGCCAAGCTCTTTGCAAAACAAATGCAAGTATATACCAAGTGCCTGAAACTTCCAGATAAATTCTCATCTAAGTGCTGAAGTATTGTCTGATCCAAACAGCCTGCTCCCATAGCCAGACATCTTCACCTCCTGGTCACCAAATGAGACACGGAACTTGGCTTCAACCGTAACCAAATGCATGTGTGGAGCAGTGTGGCAAGAAACTTGTTAAATAGTGATTCTGAGCGCAGGATTTAGAGTCAGACATACATGAGGTGTTACCTACATTTCCTTGAGCAAAGCATTTCACTTTCCTAAGCCAAAATACCCTCATTTATAAGATTTTAAAAAAATGCCCTCACAGAACTGTGAGGGGGAGCCTGGTGTACACCGATGTTACCTCCTTTTTATTTTACACACACACACA